AATCCTGAAATCTTTATGTATACCCTGCTCTACACTTCTAAAAAATCTATCTTTTTAGTAAAGCTTTCATTATTCATAGCGTGCTAGGAGTATGTACAGTACATTTTTTTTGACAGTAGCAATATTAATAATTAATATTTTGGGATTCCATGTAATTATGCCAAACCCATGATGTTAAAAATTAATGTTTCATAAACCTTACTTTTGCTTCAAAGCCAGAACCAAATGAAGAAAAAAACAACTACGGAACACGAGTACTGCATTTCTGTCAATCCAGACAAACTCATCCAACATGGGAGGAAATAAGTGTCATCAGTGGAATACAAGTGAAAACAAATTCTTCTCCTTTGTGTATTAAAAAAACCAAAGGAACGGAGCAAGACCTAAGTAAAAAAAGAGGTGTCAATGCATTTTACTTTATGTAATACTGTAATTAAACAGATACCGGTAGAATATAGTCTTTGCTATATTCAGTAATGAACCAGATGTTTTGAAGTAGCCATATGGAAAAAAAAAAAAAAATCACACTACTTAGGACAGAGAAGGCAAATTTACAGAAAATTGTAATTATCCAACACAGGCATTTTTTTCCTCTACACTAAGACCTAAGTTTCAGAATGTAAAAGACAAAGAAAAGTGGAGATCGTACACTGAAACATTTCTGGTTTAGAAGAGACTTATATTTTATCACCTACACTAATGCATGTCTTTCTCTTGTATAGCCAGACAATGCACTGCAGCTAACAGAAAAATCCAAAGAAATAATGAAAAATAAAATAAATCCCAGTGCAACTTGACCTAGCTGGTGCTTCCTGCCTCACAGTGTCACCTGTCCTGTGTTTTCCCAGTAAATAAAGAGCGAGTACTACTGAGAACACCCAGTGTTCTAATATGTGGCTACCTCACCTTCCGGGCTGCACTTTTCCACATTAGCACACTATTCCTGTGTAACACAGAAAAGGTAAAATTATTCTTCACAAATTATTCTCAGACAGCAGTTTTTTCAGAACTATCTGAAACCTGAATTTCACTAATTCATTCCTGTACAATAAGATCACCTTACGAGGAAAAAACTAGTTCTACAGCTATTTTTTATTTAATTCTTCTTGAAGACAAGCCAAGTAACCCCTCGAATGACCTCGTATCTCAATAAAAATACCAATTCTGTGATGACCAATCTTCCTTTTCCTTAAGGGTGACTGATCAACAACATAAACATATATTACTGGTGATCTGCTAGTCTTGGACCCCTTTACAAGTGTGGCTTAACTGTAACAGAAATTTAAGACTAACAGCAAGCTTGTATTTCTTAATTCACTACGCAAAATCTTTTAAAAAGGCTCACAGTCCATGCTGACAATCATTAGCTTAGAAACCACATCAGCTTGAAAAATCTACATATTAATTTGCAAGTTTTACAGTAAGGTTTTGCTGTGTTCATTTCAGCGAAGGAGCACACAAAAAAGCAAACCACTCCCTCCGAGAACTCCGAGAAAGTGACAAAGCCTCATCGGCAAGAAAATGAAAGCTTCTATCATCACTAAAGAGTCTCAAACTCAAAAATACTCATTCAGGGTTACACATGACAGAAGGGAGGTATTTTCAGGAGAACACAAAAACTCTGAGGAACTTGTTGAATGTTCTTTCCTGCCGTACTGGTTAGGAGTGTCCCATCAGGACCACTGTACACGGCGCCGTGCCAGCAGGCGGCCGGGCAGCCGGAACCGGCTGAACGCCGCAGGCACGGAGGGGCGGAAAGGCGGGCGGGGCCGCGGCGGCAGCCCAAGCACGCCGCGACCACCGCGCACCGCCCAGAGGTGGGGCCTTCCCCCGCCCGCGCACCCACGGGCATGCCGGGCGGGCAGGGGAGGAGCGCCCCGCCCGGTGCGGCGGCGGCCGGGCCGGGCCCGGCGGGACGGCGCCGCGGCCGCCTCCTCACTCACAGTAGTACGCCACCACGGGCTCGCGCTTGTCCAGCTCCTGCGCGGTCCGCAGATGGTGCTGGATGCTCTTGAGCTGCGGCGGCAGCGGGGGCAGCGCCGGGGCCGCCATGGCGCGGGCGGCGGCGCGCGGGTCTCGCGGGTCTCGCTCCCGGGGCTGGCGCGCGCCGCTTCCGTTTCCGGCGCGGGCGCCGTGGGCGGGCGGGCGGGCGGCGGCGCGCGGGGAGCGCCCCCTGCCGGCCAGGAGGGGGCGGGCGGGGCTGTCCGTCCGTCTGTCCATTCGTCCGTCTGTCTGTGGGGACCTACAGCCTCAAACGCCACCTTCGCGGCCCCTTAGTGCTTGAAACGCGCCCTACAGCGGCCGTGAGGAAGGGCTGGGACTTGGGGGCGGTCGGGGCCGCTCCCTGGCTCACCGGCTGCCAGGGCTCAGCAGTGATGCCCTCCCCGTCCCTTCTGCCTCCCTTCCTCTGGCAGGACAGCCCAGAGAGCTGTGCAGACCTGGCCTGTGCAGGCACGCCTGCAAGTAAAATCCCTTCTCAGATTGAAACTCCTTCTCAATGGGCTGCGCCAAGGCTTGCTAAGGCCCGTGAGGCCCTTGGGGTCTGAGCTGTACCTTTACTTCTGGGCCTCTGCCTTCATCTCCAAAAACTCGTCTGCAAAAATTGGATTAGTTACCTGGTATGCAGCAAGACAATAAATACACACTCGAGAGATCTGATTGTTCATTTCAGAGTGGTGTGAGCCTGGATGTTTGGGGGTATTCCATAAATCAAGCACGCCAACTATCAGCACTTTACTATTTATACATTTTAGCAAACAGGCTGCTTTGTTTTTTAATAAGAGAACAATAGTTCTGTTATTAGTTTTCTCTATTCTGTTAGTTAATGATTCTCTTGCTTCTTCTGCTGATTAGTGAGCATGTTAGGCTTTCTTATTTGAGTCACTCGGTTTCTTGGGTCACTGGTCCATGAGTTGGTGGCCAGGATTTCCCCCTGCCAGAATCACCTTTTACCCAGTCAGAGCTGATTGCAGCACAGTAGCTGAGCGGTCTTATTAGTTTCTTCCTTATTTTGTGAGTTCTGCCAAAGGCCCTGTGGCCTGTAAATTCTGCATTCCTTGTGTCAATTACCGGTGGGCATTCTTCTTCCCAAGCTTTGTTAACCTCCCCCAGGGTCTGAGATGGATGAAGGATGTCAAGCTCTAAACCTGGCAAACAATGTAAATCTGGTAAACAAGGCAATTCTACTACCAAGTGATTTGTTTTTCTAACACTTGGACATCGGTTAAAGCTTGCTTGTTAGCTGCTGTCTGTCTGTTTTCACAGATTAAATCTCCCTTGATTAAGCTTGAAAGTATTCGAAGATTAAACATCAAAGAAAATCCTTTCTTAAGAAAATGTAAATTATTCCACATTTTGCAATACTACCATGGCCTAGCTAATAGGACTGGGCTGCTTCCTGGCAGCTATCAGAAAGTCTGTCAGCCCTGGAACATGCATCTCATAGGATCACCACTTCCCAGATTAGTTTTTCTCAGAGGAACCGCCAGGGATTTCTGGTTTTGCAGAGAGGGGATAAGAACAGCACAAGAAATGTGAACTGTTGGAGCAAAATGGTTTCAAATGGATCTCAAAAGTTGCAATGTAAATTATTTTAGTGTCTATCACCTCATTCTGATGGCATAGTTAAAACTATTTTTACATTTCTTTTAGGTAGCCCTTTTGCCAAACCTCTTCTTGATCTCAAAGCATCTATTTGCGAAGGAAGAGAATGTCAGTGCTCCAGGGCATAAGGAAGGGTGCATGTTGGAGGGAGGCACAGTGTAGGAGAGGTGGCTGCATTGTCTCATTGCTGACATGGGAGTGTGCCAGAAAGGGAACAGAAGGGAAATGATGTCTGAACAGAAGAGAGGAATCCATGAAAGGAATAGAACAAGGAGTGGTTACAGGACTGGGATGCTGTGGTGCTATACTAGAAGCTGGTAGGAAGGTATAGCTGGCCCAGAGCAGCTATACCTTTGATGTAAATGCAATCACATCACAATTACAGCTCTTTGTTATGTGAGAAAGAAAATGGTCATGATGTCTGACTAGAGACAAAACTGACTGCAAACACATGAGCTGGGGATTGCTTTGAGTGCTCTCTGTGAAAATTAGGTGGCTAGAGTATGGTGGAAAACAATGAAAAAGTCAAAGAAGCACTTACAGTGTGAACCTGATATAAGCAACAAAATGCTTCCTCAGTGTTCTGGGAGACAGGACTTCATGTTCACTGTGTAAAGAAATAGAATTGAATCAAAGAATCCCCGGCTGTATTATAAATTCCTTTTTAATGGCAAAAACAAAACAAAACAAAAAAGCCTTATGATCGTCTCAAATACTTGCTAAGCCTTTGAGCAAAAATCAGCTCAACACTGAGAAATGCATGAAGGCATGTCAGTCTCGGAGGGAGTAAGAGTGGAAGGAAGCTGATAGAAAACTGTAAATGATGAAAGTGGTGGGAGTTTGGAAGACTAAGCAAAAGGAAAGTTTATACTCACTTGAGAACACAATGAGCACCAGGAAAACAAATGGCAAATATAGGAAAGAGAAGTGTTGACATCCATGGGGAAATGATTTCTTTACATGGACATAGTATCTCCATCAACGTGTTCCAGAAACTAATGGCAGAATCAGGCATAGAAAAACATTTGCAGTAAAAGGCAATAATGCACTTTTTTTTTTTTAATTAAAGAGTGAGGAATTTGACAATTTTAACTCCACAGGAAATGCAGAAAAAAAAATCAGTGTATCTGATTTAGAAGAAGGATAATTTTTAATATGTTCCAGAATTTGACCACAAAGAGAAAGGCCATGGTGGTGAGTAACCCAGCTCCTAAAGCACTCCAGGGATCCTCAGACAGTCCCATCCCAGTACTTGTTCTCCAAGGCTCTTGATGGTAACAAGAACTTAAAGTACTCCTGAGGGTTTGTGGGTTTTGGCACTCTTCTGACCCTTCTGAAGTGTTTGGAAATTTAAAGAAGAACTACAAGCAATGACATATTGAGCACCAGGGAAATACTGACAAGGTTGTGATTAAGTTATTTTATTATTATACAAATAACTGATGAAGTGTACCATTGGTAACAACTGTACCTAGCAAATGAAAGTAAATTATTTTTCTTAGTAGTTTGTATGTTTTTATAAATAATTTTTTTACCTGTTACAAGTTTCAATTTGAAAGAATAATTCCAGATGTATATTGACATATACAGTGAAAACAAACATGTATCAACCAAAGAACATGGCATATTATGCAAACAAGAAGTCAGCACAGTGATTTTTATTTCACTTGCAATGCTTGGAAATATAAAATAATTAGTTTAATATTGCATAAAGCTGATATCTTTGACTGGACATTTAAGATAACATATAACTTATTTCCATAGGGAAAAAATAGTATTAATGCTTTAATATAGCAAATGTATTTAAATACTTTGTTTTGTTCTTCATCAGCATATATAGAAAACTACACGTCTAGTTGTAGCCCACTTTGTTTTAAATGGCACAGATTCAATCAAATCCAAAACACCTAAAACTTGCTGTTCCATTTATTTAGCAGGTTTACTTTTGTGGGTGAGAATTACAAGGCTATGATAATTCAACTGTGTTTGGGAGTTATTAACTATAACACTTCATGGTAAAACAGTTGGTAATAATTTTTCCAGAATTTTTTAAATATTTCTGAAATTGCCGAAATTATGTTATCAGGATCTCAGCTTTTTATGTTTGAAAAACAGATGGAAAATGTTTGATTGTTATTATAGCTATTTGTATAATTTTATACAGGAAACTACCTCCTCCTTTCTGATTCTGAAATCTATTTTCTTTCCTTTATTTCACTTCATCACAAGGAAATCACTTCTAAATTTAATATACTTATTAGACCTTAAGAAGAAGCTGTTGCACAAAAAAACATTTGATGCCTATAAAAAGTTTAAGTCCTAACCTAACCCAATACACTTACTTCATCAAATAATTTTAATATGCAGAATTCTTTTTTAACTGTTATTCCAGCAGCTTGCTATTGTTATTCCAACTGTTATTTCAGTCAGAGCAAGAAAAAGTTAGATGTGATACAAACAGCAGAAAATTCTGTGGGCCCAATTCTGCAGTCACACACAAGCAAAACGCATTGAAATTAAATTATGATTGGGCCTAGGAAATGCTTTCTCCAAGATTGACACTTTGAAGACGCTTATGCAAAATTGTTAAAATGCCCTTTTCCTCCTTCAAAATGTGATCAATACTAAATTGGTAAAAATCTTCTCCATGGTAAGCCAAAACACAATGAGGCGTTGCAGTCAGCACAATGAATACCATACTACTGTCTCACTTTTAAAAGGAGATTCTGAGCCAGCAGGTTACAGTAGCTGAGCATCTGCAAAGTAAGCTGGTATCCATGGATATGTTGTCACCACAGCCTGACCAAGAGTCTGCCCCTGGGGGCTGAGTTGCAGGCTGCATCTCAGTGGCACTTCTTGGGAAGATGTTTGAATGCTTGCTGGTACCCAGAGAGTATCCACTATTATTGTTCAAGTCTCAAGCCATAAGAACACGTAAAAAATTTGCAATTTTTCCTAGAAGGGCAGTGGCCTTATTAACTCAGATGGCATGTGTTCAGAAAAGCTGCGAATAGAAGTGTGTTTATAAATAACCGTCTTCCTCAAACACAGACACTCCTCTGGAGGCAGAACTATCATAGGTGGCAGGTCATGAAAATATACTGCTCTTGGAGATTTTAGTGCCTTTGACCTTGAGATGGAAACAAAGATTATTTTCATAGTGTGCAAGTTTTTAGATGAGGAGTCTGTGTCAAGTGACTATTCTGTCTCAGTAATCATGAGTGTGGGTCTTTTCTGCAGCACTGCATAGAGGGCAGAAGATGTTTTTCTGCTGTGGTTTGAAATCATTGTTACAAAACTGCAGGTGGACAGAGCAGTAAATGAGTGTGAGTTGACATCACTGAGTTTTTAAGAAACCTAGCCTTCTACATGAGATCTCAAAAATTTCAGCAACACACAGGATCACTGTAATCACAGTAAATGTGTACATTGCAATAAGAAAGATTGTCTTTTCAAAGTGCTCTGGCACCATGCATCGGGTAATGTTAAACTTTTTATCCAGTGCTTCCACATCACACATGTAGATTGCATTCACTTTGAAACCAAAGAGCTGAATCTGAAGCCAAAAAGCCACAACTTCAAGGACAATCCTTAAGAAAACAGAGAAAATATAAAAACCAGTGTAGGATGACTTTTGGAGAATATCTTCCTGTTTGATGCTCTTACAAGCAGCATAAAGGTGAAAAATGGCTCCAGGTACCAGTACAATCACCAGCTGTAATGCCCAGAATACCTAAAATGTAGCAGAAATGTACCTGTCAGCTCATTTATAACTGCTTTGGAACAGCTAATACACATGCATATCGTAACATTTTGCAAGTCTGTTTTTAATATATATCAAATGTATAAAAGCTTAGATGACAATAAAGGTAAAAAGCAGTGATATTTTGATTTGAAAAGTTTAGTTGGGTTCTGAAACATAAGTATCATTTTGGAAGGACAGGAAACACAGCTCCGTATTTAGTCACAGCTAAAGGGATATTAAAAGGAAAATACTAATGAAAAAAGCTAGTGATAATTAGCATAGTCAGTACTTATATGGAACAATTATGCTTTAGTTTTTGCAGTTTACTTGCTTCACATTGGATTTTTGCCATGAAAAAAATAACAGAAAAAGATAATTACCTGAGGAGTTATAGGTCTGAACTGGTTGTAGCAAAAAAGATTAACCTCTCTCTTGTCTGGGTCACAGCTGAAATGCAAGGCCTCATTTCCATAAACAGCAAAGCCCAAAACACCAAGGAAAAACATTCGAATTGAGCCAAAAAAAAGAGTGTGGAATTGTCCAATTACTGTTGGCGGCCTGAGCTGCAAATCAGAGGGTTCATTCGACATAAAAAACCAAAAATGAACAGTGTTATTGTTGGAGGTCTACTTGCTTTTTTTCATTATCCAGAATATTTATTTTATTCTACTTGCTTTAAAGAAGACAGTGTGCCTATGAAGGGTGCAGTAGCCCTCTAACAAAATAATATTCTTAATAATACAATGCTACGAACTTTACATAAACGTTAATTTCTCTAGCACTTGCCAGTTCATTTGTTTCAGTGCCTTCATCTGTATTCCACTGCTGCAGAAGGCGCCAGACGGAGCTGAGCGCTTCGACCCAAAGTCTATTCGTTTTGCTGTTGTACTGATTCATTCACATAACGTCAGGTGATGGCAAAGCACGGACCGCCGTGCCACCATCAAACCTAACCATGCTTAGAGCCGTACTTATTCCCGCAAATTAACAGTTCGGCTTCCCCAAAGGGGCAACTGCCTCCCCGCCCCGGCCGCCCGCCCCGCCGTGCCGGGCCGGGAGCGCAGGCGGGCGGGGGCCCCGCAGCCCGTGCGGGGCGGGGGCGCGGCGCGCCCCCCGCGCGGTTTGGGGCCGGACCCAAAAGGGGTCGCGTACTCACACATCCCTCCGAGAAGCTCCGGATGTAGTTGGGGGACATGGCTGGGGAAGGTGCCCTGTGTGGGCGGCGGTGGCCGGCGGCGGTGGCCGGAGCCGGAGCCCGCCCTGGCCCCGACCCCGACCCCGACCCCGGCCCCGGCTCGCTCCGCCCTTTGTCCCCGGGCGGGCCCCCGCGCTCGGGCCGGCAGCGGGCGCAGCAAAAGCGGGGCCGGCCGGCGCCCGCCGATAATCCCCGGGCAGCACCGTCAGCAGCGCCTGCCGCCACCGCCGCCCGCTGCGCACCTGCCCCTGCCCCGCTGGCCCACGCCGGCCTTCGCCGCCCCGGGGTACCCGCTGTACCGACCACCGCCCCCGCCCCGGCCCATCCCCGTCCCGGTTGAGGCCCTGGCGCAGCGCGCTCGGGGCTGCCGCTGGCGGGAAGAGCCGGGAGCCGGCTAGCTGGAGCGTCTAGAGCTCATCAACTTTAATATAGCTTAAAGTCCCATAAAGATGCAGCAGGGCTTGGAACTGTAGATCCACGATTCTGAATTCAAACAAACAGAAATTGAATGAAAACAATATTAACCACTTCACAATTGCTATAAATAGCTTTATGGCAATAATCACTACTAATAATTTGCCAGCATACTCAGTATGCAGAATTGAAGCAGCTCCAGAAGAGCTGTGCATGCGAGTCCACGCATGTGACAGACACTCCTGCTGGTAAACTGCCGCAAGGAAGTACTTCAACTCAGTGGTTTGAACCCAGTGGGAGTTCTGGGAGAAGATGGAGAGTGGAAGGATGGAGATAGGAAACCAGTAAAAGGGAAATGCTAATTTGTCATTCACTCAGTGTTACGCAGTAGTCTATTTGGCATGCACAGGAAAGTGAAATCAGGTCACGAAATCCAGAGAGGGGCAGTTAATTCTTTTACCTCTAAACTCAAAAGACAGCCTCCCTTGTAACTGGCTGCAGCATGACTTCAAGCTGATGTATCAAAAAGCATTGTTTCCCGTGAGAGGTGTCCCTGCAGAAAGCAGTTCAGGAATGCCCTGGGAGACTGCAATTGTTTAAGGCAGGGCATTTTCCCAGAGCTCACTGCTCCTGCATGTAAATGAGTGTATGGCCATCATTTGTTGTAGTCTCCCCAGTTCCAGAAAGTTCTCTATTTTCAGTTCCCCCATTGGTTCTCTCAGAAAACTATTCCTTCCCTTCTCCCTCATTGGTCCTGTTCCTGTCACCCCATCCCTGCTCCTCCCCTGAACCTTTCCGTCATTGGGCAGTTTATACCTTAACCACGCCGATCTTTCCCCAGTTGAATACCTTGGCCCCTCCTTCCCCAGTTTCTCTTGTAGCCTTCCCCTTCATGTGAGGTTGTCTCCCTGTTCCTAGTTTCCCATCCTCTGCCTCTCCTTCACAGGGTCTTTGGCATACAAAGCAAAGATTGCCATATATTCCTTTGCTAGTACTTCTGCAGAGACTTTTTCATTTGGACACCACAATTTTCCATTTTTCTTGCGTGTTGACCTGTCATTAATTAGGAGATCTTTCACAATGAAATTTGCAGCAACAGGTTTCATTGGAGAAGCAAACTGGTCTGGAGCAAACATAGAAATATGACCCAAAGAGAACAAGGGAGTTAGAAGCTGTTCTGGTACATCAGCATTCAAACTTGTACTAAGAGGCTGAAAGATCTATGCAAGTTGTACTTCTTTATTTAAAAATATGCCATGTATACAGTGAACAGCTTGTTTTGCCTGATGAGGATTGCCTCTTTTTGCTTTCTGATGCAAAATCGGAATTAGTGTTTATCTTATGTATGGCACATCTGATTCTATTTTGTGACCCATCTTCCTGAAAATCTGTACGGCTACCTCAGCTACTGTATCATCTTCCATCCTAAGGTGCTGCAGTAGAGATTCATAGGTCTCTGCAGAGTGGAATGAGGGATGTGTGAAGGACAGAACCTTGAGAATTTCAAGTCCTGCATGAATAGGAATATCAGAACTTACACCCTCTCTTCATCATCAGCTGTCCCCTCTATGGATTTATTCATTAATTTTGCTAGTGCACTAATGGCTTCTGAGTCAATATGTACAGGGGCAATTCTTTCCAAAAGAAATTTGACCATTTTCAGAAAAGGATTTGTTGGCTGCTTAGGATTTGCAAGTTTCCGGGCTATCTCCCTCACACAGACATTTACAAGAACATGTAGGGCTAATTAACAGTTCAAGCTGGGACCTAAGTTTCTCATCATTATCCAAAACTTGATTGAATTTCTCCACAAAATCTTTTTCTTTTCCAGGATCTGGAAGGTTTTTTGCTACGCTTTGGGACATTCAGCAGATCTCCGGAACCATCACGTGGATCAGACCTCTCCTGGGACTAACCACGGAGGAACCGGCACCACATTTTAATCTTCTGAGAGGAGATGGTGACCTGATCTCCCTGCGTGAATTAACACCGGACACCTGTGGAGCCCTAGAGAGAGTCGCTGATGCCCTGAAGTCCCGCCAAGCTCACCGCGTGGACAGGTCCCTCCCCTTGAAATCTGTATATTGGAGTGAGTGCATCTGGAAGAGCAATGGCCACGCTGCTGACACCAGCCCTGGCGATACCATCTTAAGGCACTCCAGAGCACTTGGATTGCTGCCACCGTACTCATCATCTTTCTGTGGTTTCAAGCAGTAGAAGGATGGTTTGTTCCACAGCCCAAAGAAAACATCCGGATCAAACTTGCAAAGGCCCTCAAACAGGATAACTTCTGCATGGCCATGGGCAGTGTGGAGGACCTACTTTCTACATGTCTTGTGGGAGTTTCCCTGTCACAAGGGGACCACCCTTATGTAGGTAGGAAACCCAACCCTGTAGACTGCTGGGACAATTGGACGAGGATTTTGTCACATGGCACCACAGGAGCTCCAGGAATTGGACTTACTGGGCTCCTCAAGGGTGACATATTTAAATAAAAACCCTCACTCAAAGATTGGCAACAGCTACAAGGCTTTAGGAACAAAAATGTCTCACCCTACAACAAAACATGTATGATCAAGTGGTGCAGTTACACCAGTGATATATTGTCCGAGTCCTCTTTGTTTCCCAGGGAGCTCCCCAAGGGAGTGTTTCTTATCTGCAATGACAGTGTATGGGCTGGGATCCCCTCTAAGATTGAAGGGCGTCCCTGTAGCCTTGGCCAGATTACTACTCTGACACCCAACAAGACCCAAATTCTTGATTGGAAGAGGGAGAGACAATTGGCACACTAAAAGAGATCCTACAGTCAATTTGAGCCCAATTGTGATCCCCAAATATATAATTGGGGTACGTCTAAGATGGTGGCTGCATCTATATTTCTGCCATGGTATGCAACAGTCAAGGCCCTCAGTGAGCTTTCTCACCTAGGTTGTTGGCTTAGTAAGCAGGCCAATGCCACATCCGCCGCCTTATCAGGTCTCTTGGTGGACGAGGAAACCACCAGGCATGCCACACTGCAAAACAGAGCCACCATCAATTTTTTATTACTAGCCCATGGCCACAGTTGTGAAGACTTTGAGGGACTATGTTGTTTTAACATCTCTTTGAAGAGCACATCTGGACACAAGTGGAAAACATCAAGACAGAAAGTCGGGCTATAGACATCATGAATAAAATGTTCACACAGTGGGGTGACTCTGGGTGGGTGGCCTCAATCCTTAAAGGATTGTTGTGGATCTTAAAATTTTCATAGTGTCCATCGCCCTGACGTTTTTTTTAAAAGGACCCTTGTAAAGACTTTGGGGGACGTTTATTTAATAAACAGAAAAGGGGGAGATGTGGGAGGTGCCCCTGGGGAGACCAATTCAGGAATGCCCTGGGAGACTGCAATTGTTTAAGGCAGGGCATTTTCCCAGAGCTCACTGCTCCCTCATGTAAATGAGTGTATGGCTATCATTTGTTGTAGTCTCCTCAATTCCAGAAAATTCCCTGTTTTTGGTTCCCCCATTGGTTCCCTCAGAAAACCATTCCTTCCCTTCTCCCTCATTGGTCCTGTTCATGTCACCCCATCCCTGCTCCTCCCCTGAACCTTTCCATCATTGGGCAGTTTATACCTTAAACAGGCCGATCTTTCCCCAGTTAAATACCCTGGCCCCTCCTTCCCGAGTTTCTCTTGTAGCCTTCCCCTTCATGTGAGGTTGTCTCCCTGTTCCTGTTCCCCTGTCCTCTGCCTCTCCTTCAATAAATCCATGTGGATCTTAACAGCTTGAGAGTCCTCTCGTCTTTGGTGGAGTTTCATTACTCTGTCTTGGCACCTGTTTACTAGCCAGCAGTGGGTCACCCTGTTGGACCTGGTCTGGGGCAGCCCGCAGTTCCTCTGTCATGGATGCTCATAGGCATGGAAGCATAGGCAGAAGGGAAATGATGGGAATCGGTGTTCATTGTATGCATAGATTTAGCTGTTGTATCTCTAAAAGGTGCCTCAATGACTGTTTTATTGACATGGTCAAAATAACTGTTTTAAGACATCAGAACATCCTTTGTAAAGGGAACCCACCCCACATCCACTGAAGTAGGTAAATTACAAAGAAGGTGAAAAGTACTCCAATAACTGCATTTACAGTTAATTAATTAGTTGCTGGTTAATATAATATAATATAATATAATATAATATAATATAATATAATATAATATAATATAATATAATATAATATATAAATATAGTAATTAATAAGTTTTTTAGAGCTCCTAGTTCAGGCAGTTAATTAAATGTGTCCCCTGGAGTACTGTAAAAGATGCTGTATTGGTAGCACTCAGACTGGGTTTCCAGATGTTTTTAATGCAATCTACTGCTCTGCTGCATAGAGAGAATGCTGAGGTTTGTGTATGTCAAATGAACTAAAAGCAATAATGTCTCTCAGTAGTGTGTGATCTGCAGTAAAGTACTGTGGTTCTCAGTGTGGTGACTAACTTTCACCAAAATGCAGTGATTTTGGTTACAGTGAATTGTTTTTCAATACATATGGAGCTTAAATTATAATCCAAATGCAATTCTAGTGTTACGACAGTACTATGAAATGACTAAAAATTAGTTCAGCATGTTTAATACCAGTAATATTTCAATAATTTAATTATTTTTAAATGTGAACAATCAGCCTTAGTAACAGTATAGAAACTTGAATCTCTGTCCTGTGATAAAGGTGCTAAAGAAGACTTAGCTGGCAATGCTCTGATTTTTTTTTTTTTTCTATGAACATGTAAGGAATAAATAAAAAATAATTCTGGAGAGGTTGTCAGATGAACCAAATGCAAACTCCATGGCTGTCTGCAGTAAATCTCCACTGAGTGTGATGAATGGGTCCACAATAATATTGTCACTTTCTTTGAAGTGGCTCCAGTGTCATGTGAGCTCAAGCACAAGAATCCCATTATCTTTGCTAGGAGGAACTAATAGCAATGTTTTTCTTTTATCATGTGTGCTCAATAATGTGCTTAACACCATATTAGGAGAATAACTTGAGATGCAAATAGAGTAAGCTGGCATTGTGCAGTCCTTTTGAGTGCAGTCTGCCGAGGGAAGTCAAGCCATTTCTTGAGACTTCCTTGACAGAAAGTCATTATTTGTTTTGAATCTGTAGGAGCAGCTGTCTGTTAGTTTTCTATCATGGACAAATGGGATGGAAGATGTTGATATCACATTTGTTTCTAAGTGAGTCTGAAGCCTGGATTTTGACTCCAGTTTGCAGCTCAGCGGTTTGCTCTTTAATCTTTTAATGAGTTGAAGTCCTACTGAATGAATACAGTAAAACAAATGGAAGTTAAATGCATGCATAAAGCTGCAGTTGTGCGTAGAGGGATGACCTGCATGTTTAACATTAAGCACCCAATTAATTCCTTTATTAATGTGGTTAAATGTAACAGCACCTGTTACCCTTGTGCCATGAACAAAATCAGCACCATGAAAATGGTACAAAAATTGAATTGGTATCAATAGGATAAGGTTTTTTTTCCCAAAAGAGAATTTGCATGAATATTGAAGAAATCCAGTTCTGCCAGCTTTCCAGCTTTGTCTAGTGCTAGAAGCACCTGAATTTCCATTTTGTTTTGCAGAGTTCCCTCCATCCAGATAAGAAAGCTTCTATTGAAATAACAAGAAAAAAACCCATGAGTTACTTTAGGTTATTGTACATTTGACTGCCTGGAAGAAGTCACTCTGCTACAATGCATGCCCACTTTCCAGCTGTACCTACTGGTGTGTGATACTACAAAATTTATTGAAGGTTTGGTTCCTAATGCTCAGTTTTTAGATTCAGGTGGTATTTGTTCCTTGGTTGTTGCTTTGTTTCTTTTAAAAATTTGACTGATTATCAGGCCTTCAAACATGATCACTTCAGGGCTCCATTTGAACCCAGTTTTCATTTAATGTGCAAGTACACATACTTATCTAAAGTAGTTTTGGTGGCAGATATGCTTGGTTCTTCCTGGGATTACACGTGTTGTGATGTGCAAATCTGGAATTAGCTCTGGAATTATCAAGTGCCTTGAGCTGCATAAATGTGTGAAAAGAGTGTTTTTTCCTGTCTGACCCACTTCTCGGTAGAGGGCATTTTTGAGATATGTGCACATGAGTTCCTCATTCCTACATGAGCTGATTATGAATCCCTACATTTTGGAATTACTGATGAAGAAGTTTTTCCTCTCATGGTTCCAAGTGGTTGTGGTTTCTCCCCTATGGTGTTGCACTCCCACGTGCACTCCATCTGTGGTGGCTGATTATGCCTGTGCAATTTCTTTCCCACTGGGAAGATTCACCTATGGCACTCTCTCCCTCACTCTTGTGCCAAATACTGTCAGAGCTGCACAATGAAATTATCTCTAGGCTGCAATCTGAAATAACATCTAGGCATGGGTAGTCTCTTGTTTGAAAAGAGAATGATGAACAGTTTGTATGTGGCGATCTGAATTCAACTGGTTTATGTCAGGCTCTGTGGATCTTCCCCACACACAGCTTTTTACCTCTGCAGGAAATTATATTTATACTGGTTGAATATAATAACTGGTTGATTCATATTCATACTGCAGTCTAAGCATTATCTAACTTTCTGGTTTCCCTGAGCTGGAGTCACTCTCTTCAAAGCTTATTTCCTTGCTGTTAGAGTTCTAAAAAATATAGAGTAGATAAAATCAAGTACTGATAAAAATCAGGAATGTAAATTTCTACTGAAAGTATTTCTATTTCTTCAACCTTAAGAATTCCATCCTGTGGACTAAAGGACAGATAAAATTCACTAGGATAGAAGAAATTCTCCTGAAAGGCAGCAGCAGGAGTGGTAGTGTTGTGAAACAAAAATCAGTGGGTCTCACCTCTCTCCATGCAAACTGAAATAAGTTTATATCAATAGAAGTTTTTAAAGTGCAAAAAGACTCAACTTCCCCCTGTCCCAAGAAAATCAATATTAACGACAAGTTGAATTTAAACTATTCTCCCAATGGGAATCATATTGTTTGCTGATATATAAACCTGTTTTCAAACAAATTAGCAAAAGGACTATACACAGAGTGTTAAACTTGGAGAGTTAAAGACTTATATTGGATCCAGCCAATGGGAACCAAAAAGAGAGATCTGGAGTGTTAACAGAAATGTGACTATCATGATCTTAGAAAATTTCACATATGCTCAACAAAATGGAGGGTCACAGCAATTTATATAAATATGTAAGCCATCAGTAAGGCTGCCTCAGAGGGAGCTGAATTTAAAACTGTGTGGAAGGAACTTGATCAGTAACAAGAATCACTTCCAGAGGAGCTCTGTGATGATTCTGATGAGCTGCTTAGTGGTAAAGTTTATCATCAGCTTATCTAGCCTGATTCTTTCTGAGGCCTAGCACTGTTTGGGTTCAAACAAATTACTCAGCATTATATGGATCAGTAATTTACACAACTTTAACATATATATTAAGGGATTTGAGAAGAGTGATAATGATCAATGAATAGATAGAGAAAAGTAAGTTTAAAGAAACATTCTTTTTTTATATAATCTTAGTAAAAGTTTGTTTACTACATAATTGCTGATTTAATTCCTACACTAGACAGCATGCCATAGACAGGCCATGCACATGTGACATGCTTTGCTTCTGATATTTCAGTGGTCAGATTCTCCATAGACCTGTCATAAACTCATAGAGCTTCAAGAGAACTGCTGTAGTAATATGAACAAGCTAGTTCTCCACAAGCTCATGAATACTCTCTTTTGAGAAAAAGAAATAAAGGAATCAGTCTGCAGAGCATGTTACTGGAAAATGCTGTTATTTTACCTTAACATTTTGTCTTGGAAACTTCAGTCCAACGGGTCTGCCTGTCTTCCAGCATATTTACATGACTACTTACATTCATGGCTTCTGCTGGAGACAGATGGACCTGTTTGGAAAGCCTATACATTTACAGGCCCTCGGAAGTAAAAGACATTACCTCACTGAAAAGCAAGAAACATTAGAGACAAATTCTACTCTTCAAAGAGGCAAACAAAATTCATTCTCCACTCTGCTATACCATTTGCAGAGTAAGTCATAGATAGAACACATCACCTGTCCCCCTTTCCATAGTCAAGACCACTGTGAAATGCAGCTTCACAAATCAAACCTTAAAACTTTAAACACAGCTGATGCCTTTAAGTAAGATCTATACACAACCCACAGCTGGATGTCAGGAATAAAATCTCTTCATTCTCACGCCCCTCGCTCCCTGCCACCCTGCGTTTCAAAGCACTGTGGTTTCACCTAAGATGCTTAAAGACGATGTTCCGGGGGCGATCCTGCGTTCTGTCCGACGTGTCGGACAGCTCCCCGGCTTGCCGGGCAGAGCCTGGCGGGGGCTGCTTTGGGTGGTCAGCGGCGGGGACACAGGCTTCCCTCTCCCCTCCCACTCACCGCGTCGTGCCCATCGCGCTCAGGGGCTCCCGCGGGACAACGGCGGCTCCGGGATCCGCCTCTGCCTTCCCGCAAGATCCACCTCGGTGGCGCGGGGCTGGGGCGAGGGTACAGGCGGGGCAGGAGGAGGGGCGGGGCGGGGCGGGCGCTCCGCTGTCAGGTATAAGGCGGTGCAGCGGAGTGGGGAGCGGGCTCGCTCCGCGGCTCGCCGCTGCCCCGGTGCCGCGGCCGGGCAGCACCCGCGCCGCTGGACAGCGCGGGCGCTCCGCGGGGGCGGCGGCCGCACCGCGCCTTCGCCGCAGCGGCGCGGCCAGCGCGCTCCCGGGGCGGCTGTCCCCACCGCATTCTCTGCCCCCAGGCCCAGCATCTCCTGTCCCCCAGGAGAGGCTTGTCCGAAGAGCCGAGGGACAGCGCACGGGAGGTTTTGTTTCCTTCCCCGGCCACCGCACCGGCGGACATTCCTCTGCATTTCTTAAGGGAGAAAACTCGGCAAAGAAGGGGTAGGAAGAAAGGCAGTAGGGAATGGGGGGGGGGGAAAGTTAATTGACTTACTTGCAGAGAGTTGAAGCTTTCCTTTGGCTCCCGCTGCACGTTGCACTGGAGACCTTCAGTCCACGCGAGGCTGTAGGATGGAGCCAGAGCCCCCGCCCGAGCTCGCAGCAATGCCCCTCGGGGAGAATGGGAGTGTCCGCCTGCTGCCCGACACAGCCCTGCTGTCCCCGGGGAGAGGCACGGCCATATTCATCATCCGCTGTGTGATCCCTTCTCTTTACCTGCTCATCATCACTGTCGGCTTGCTGGGCAACATCACTCTCGTGAAGATCTTCATTTCCAGCAGCGCCATGAGAAGTGTGCCCAACATCTTCATCTCCAGCCTCGCTGCTGGTGATCTGCTCCTGCTAGTGACCTGTGTGCCTGTGGATGCCTCCCGGTATTTCTCTGAAGAGTGGCTCTTTGGAGAAGTAGGATGCAAGCTCATCCCTGTCATCCAGCTGACCTCTGTTGGTGTCTCTGTCTTCACTCTCACGGCCCTCAGTGCTGACAGGTAGGAAAGTTGGGCTGCCACTTCAGCTCTCTGCAGCTTGGGCTAAGGCTGGATGAAAGGTAAAGCACCTCCCTAGATAAGGCATCCGTGGTTTGCAATCCCTTAATTCCGACCTGTGAGGTGCCCATGCTTCTTCCCTCACTGACTGATGGCAGGGGGCACTAACTGAAGTTAAAGGGTATCTGGAAATGGCTGTGCCTGGCCCTAGCTTGCAGGGTGTTGATTTTAGCCCTGTCTTCTGCACCTCTGGGATGGTCCTGTAACAGTCCATATATTGGAATTTTACTCATTGGAGTAAGGTTTTAGATGCCAAATAAGACCGTTGCCAAGTCACAGTGTTGTCCACACGCAGTGGGTGACTTAAACCAAGTTAGGCACAGATGTATTTTAAATCAGTTTATTTCTTTTTGCTGAGAAGGTGTACACGTGTGTGTATGTGTGTCTGTGCCTTAGTAGAGAGCAGGTTACCAGAGGTGACTGCCAGAACTAGCTTAGCTTTTGGGAATTCAGTGACACCAAATTGTTCTATTTTAATTATCAATCTTAAACTTTTGTTCAAACTATTCTTACGGTCTTCTGAACTTTTAGAAAAGAAGAAAAAAAAAAAAGGAAATACTCCCAAACAAACTTGAAAGTAACAGTTTTTTCTCCAATACTTGTCAAATTAGGAAGAAACAAAGAGCTGGATCCCCAGTTTTTCCTCCCAATTTCTGTGAATGGGTACTTAAGGAATTTATAGACACTGAGTGGCTGTAGGACTATGCTTCAGGCTCTGAAAGACAAAACTTTGCAGTGTAATTGCAAATTTAAATTATATGAAATTATCTTTATTTTTTTTATATAAGTAATTTTTTTGGGCAGAAATGAAAACATTTAATTCCTTCTCCATAGAAATTCACCCATTTTCTTTTGTTGTGTTTTGAACTGAGCCCCTTTGTTATATTGGTGCATGATGTAAAGAGTTGAGTTTAGAAGTACATTTTCACACTTAGAGTAATGTTTAAGATGTTAATGTTAGTGTTTAAAACTTTTAATAATTTATTTTCTGTTGTTTTTTTTTTTCTTTTTTTTTCCTTAGCTAATTCAGTCCATTGCTTGATTTCACTTGAGTGTAGTCTTCAGTGAACATTCATTTCAGTTCTATTTGAATCAGGACCTAACATATTTGTCTGTAAAGACTGTAACTTGTGAAAATGGATTATGGTTTTGAAGAAGAGCTTGCAAAACATATCTTAAAATGAATACCTGTAACTCTCTGATTACCTCAGTTAAATAGTATTTCAAAATCTGTCCTTACAGATCCAAGGAAACCCTGCAATTCTCTTTCTGCTCTATTTCCACTCCTTAGTATCTTGTGGTGTACATCATATTTGTAAAGTGAAGAAGTTAGTGGAGATAATTTCTCTAGAGAAATGTAATGTGAGGGAATGCTAGTAATTGAATTTTTAAGGATTCATTCATTTGCTTTTTATATAGCTTTGGAATATTCACTGTTTGATTTTTCCAGATAATTTTATAATCCCTCTTTTTGTATCAGTGGAGTCAAGAATTTATAATACTGACTCTGCTTATGCTTAATGCATCTAGAATTGCACGTACTAAAAAACAGTTACAGTTTGTGTGCTGAGACCAAATAAGCTCATAATAAATACATTTCTCCAGCATTTTGGACTCCACAGTATATGCCAATATCATAAATGGTTATACTAGGAATTTGCAGTGTTTCTTTAAACTTGTAGTTTTACTTTAGGTCACTGAGAATAAAAAACTTTTATTTTCCTGTCAGATTATCTTCCACTGACTTCAGAGACCAATCTCCTAGGTCCCCGGAGACTGCTGAGTGAAGCTGGCTGAACTTTCAGTGGTGTCTGGGTTGGAGTCAGATCTACTCTTTGTACAACACTTTGTACAACACTTGTGCTGAACTAGAGGGGAGGCACTGGTGTGGAGGGGTTTCTGTGACACTAATCTGTAGCCAGATTCTAATGTGTGTTGTAACTACATCAGTTTTGGGTGGCTATGATGGCAGATGAGAAGTGTTGGCTGCATCCTGCACCCAAGAGGTGCTGAAGAGGTCAGGTCTGGCTGCAGGCAATGTTTTCTCCAGATAAATGAATCTAGGGTAGGATGTAAGCAGTTATGACATCAAGAGGGCTCCATTATAATCCAGTATTTGGTCTGGTACACAATGTCTTCTTAGTGGCCCTTTTTTTCACAAATAATGTTCAAAGTACATTAAAATGTACTTTCAATTAAAGCCGTTCCTGGTTTTTGCTTCTTGTAACCAGGAGACTGTATAGAATGCCAGACATTGATTACACTAAAGAACAGATTTAGGAATATGTAGGATTCTTTGGAGCGTGCCTGTGTAAATTAGGATAAAGGAGGTTGTCTTGGTTTCCACAGTTGAATTAATACTTATTGTTTATGTTGAAATTCTGCATAACAATTATTTCCTTGTGTGTGATATATTTAACAGAAGTAGCTATGGAAGCTACAAACTCTGAATGATTGTTGCTAACAAATTGAAGGAAGAAAAAAGTAATACTTTTAGTAGTATTAAAAGTACTACTACTTTAGTAAAAGTAGTAGTATAAAATTGTATATATGTATTTTCTAAAGTTGCTGGATTTCATACAGATTTTTTTTTTTTTGTCACAGAAGTCCTTCTCAGCAATAATGTTTCAGTGTGACAAACATGCACCTTTTATTTGGAAAGCTTCATTACCTTGTATTGAGATTATTTGAGTTTTTGTTTGGGAGCTTTTGTGTGTGTGTGTACAAATGTAATATGTAATTTTTAACAATACTTTCCAGACTTCCCTTCCATGCAGATGGAATTTAGCAGCATATCTGCCTGAGGTTGCCCATCCCCATCTCAGGAATAGCAGCTGGTCCTTCCCAGCCCTGAGCTCCTGGAGGTCTGGCTGCCAGGTGTGGGGAGTGGTGCCCTGCTGCAGCCCCACATGTGTTAGGGTGGGAGGTCAGTGGTGCAGGTGGGGATGGTGGCAGCAGAGATGATGCAGTGATGGTGCTGGTGGCACAGGATTTTGGTATCAGAGCAGGATGCAATCTCCCTATCCTATGGCATGGAGAAGGCAGCACAGGAGATGTGCTGCTGAGCCAGCTGTCCCTTCTCACTGCCACACAGGATATGTAGGGACAGCAACCTAGCCCTCATGGCCACTAGTTTTCTTTATTGTGGAGAGACCAGGGCACCTTTACAAATCTTAATATTTCTCTTGTTTATAAAACCAAAGAAAAAACAGAGGGTGGCAACAGAAAAAAAAAAAAAATTAGACTGGATGACAAATGAGAAAGAGGAAGAGGGCTGAAAGACAAAAATGTGCCAAAAAAAGAGGAGAGCTAAAGGGACGCTCCCTTTTGCACTCAACACACCCTGAAAGTTCCCAGAGCTGGTGCATGATGGCCAGGGATGCACTTCCTAAAGATGTGGTGGGATAAGAATTGAAAAATGGGGCCTTGATGAACTTGTTTCTCCAGAGGCTATGGACTGCAGTTTTGGCAAGGGTTAGTGGATGTTGATGAGAAACTCTCAAGACTTGGTGTGTAGTCTTTGATAAGGAGGATAAAAATAAAGAAGTGAGAAGTGTTTGCCAGAGGGACTGCAGCATGACACACATGAAGAAAATATGTGCCAGCATCTCCTCACTGCAAAAACGGCAGAAGCCAGGGATGAACCTGACTTGAACCATCCAATGAACTTGCTTATTGCTGCATTGGTTCACAATGGACCATACATTTAGCTCAAAAGGCAAACTGGCCCAATAGGGCTCCTCATCTTATTCTCAGGTTGAGGGATCTTGCTGTTTTGTGCATGGGAAAGAGTCAAAGTAGGGCAAAAACTTAATCGGGGAGGCATGGAAAGGTATTTCCAGGTTTTTTCAGAGTTAGAGGTCTGGATGGCATTTTAACCTTGGTGTGAATTAAGACTGGGTGCTACAGTGTGCACCTCTGTAAATGTGTTAGCTCTAATGCAATTCTGCTGCACTCTAATGGAGACAGCAAAGCTGAACTCACCCTAATATAATTGGAATAGCATCGTATTTGCTTTCTTCCTCAGTTATGTGACATAAAGACATATTTGATGAGACAAATACTTGATTAACAGGTAACAGTTTGAAAATTTAAATTCATATGTAAGTAGCTAAATATAGTGCCTGACATGCTTTAAATGTATTCTATAAATTTTCATAGCTAAGCTATTTGCTCCTTCTATTTTTTTTCCTTTATTGATTTGGAAGACTGCAATCTGTATTGTAAAACAATCTAAAATGTTTTTTGAAAATTTGCACTCTGTGCTGACTTCTGATGACATCTGATAGCGAAATCTCTTTTGGCTCAGTTTATTGATCTATTATCTCCTTTCTTTTGGGAACTTTGAAAATGTTCTGATGTGTGAAAAGCTGCCCTAGTAACTGGGTTTTTAATTAGTAATATTACTTTAATGAAAACTTTTTATTTTTTCTCATAATGTATTTTTAGTTTTTCTTTTATTATGGCAGATGCTGATTCAGGCTGAAATACAATGACTGTATTGAAAAATATAAATGAAAAAATATAAAATCCTCCTTTCTTATTGCATGTAGTGGAGCAGGTGAAGCAGGACAGTGGACATGATTTCCTTTTGAGCTCTAATCGTTGATATTCAGGAACTAAGGAGTCCTTATGAGGAAAATAGTATTAAATGATATATTGAAAATTACTTATAATTAACCAAAGAATAAAGAAAAAATATTCAAAGGTAAAATGGAAGATTATAAGTGAAAAACAATGCCTTAGCTGTACACAGTGGATAGGAAAACAAAAATACATGGACCAAGTAGAACTATGAGATTCTCTAAGTATATATTTTAGATATTGAATGAATAAATTAGTGAAGTACATTAAAATAAATGATGTTCCAGATGTTTCTCTCACTGTAGGCTGTAGCAGTATGGTTATAATTATGCAATAATGGACAATGCAAAAGAAATTTA